TTATACTATGGAGGAAACCAGAAAACCCTCCAGCCCAGTTCAAGAATAAGCATGTGGAAGGTTACTTCTTCAAAAGTAAAAATATCTCATATCACCTCTTTTTCATTTGCTTCTCCTTATCCTTGTTGCTGTTTACGACACAAGGAGAAGAAGAACAATCAACTGGAAGCCGAAGCCGAACCTTTGATCCAGGTTACTTGCTTGGAAGTCTGATTGCTTACCTTGTTTGTTACCTCTTTCGGCAAATCTCTTAACTCGGCGACTTGGGGGACTCCTACTATAGGGTTTTGTATCGCACTTGACCAAGCCCGAAACTACAAGTAAGCTTCAAGTGAAATTGATACATTACCTTGTGCATTTTCATCGGTTAAAGATACCACCCCTGGATGGAGGAAAAATACTTCCAGAGAAGATGTCACAACTACGTATGAGACAGATAAGGCAAGTGAAAATGATACCACACTTCGGTACTTAGAAGTTTCATGATTACTCAATGGCTTGGATCTTGCAAGTCCCTAACCAAGGAGCTTCCCTCACTCGGGAACTTAGGGGAGCACTGTTCGTACCATACTTGACCAATCCCGAAACTACTAAGCACCGGTCAACGTTATACCGTCAAGGACCCAGAAGAGTTTCCCTTAAACCAGGAGGCCAATTATAGCGCGACACATGTCGACATCAGAAACTAATCATAGCGCGACATGTGTCAACATCAGAAGCCAATCACAACACGACACGTGTCAATGTCAGAATGACACCAGAAACTCTCTTCTATAAATAGAGATCATTCTCTCACAATATTTCTTAATGTCATTTTTATTAAATCATTCACTTGTACTCACTAAAGGAGAGCTTGAACCTATGTACTTGTGTAAACCCTTCACAATTAATGAGAACTCCTCTACTCCGTGGACGTAGCCAATCTGGATGAACCACGTACATCTTGTATTTGCTTCCCTGTCTCTATCCAGTTACATACTTATACACACTAATGACCAGAGCAATCTAGCAAAGGTCACAAACTTAACACTTTCTGTTATACCAAAATCCTCATTGATTTTGTGCATCAACAAACCATATGATTACTAAAATGCCATTGTCTCAAATCAAATATTTTATATACTTTTTTAATAAAATTTGATATAGTATATAATAGTAAGAAAAAATTAAATTGCTTTTTGATTTCATAAACATACTAAAATGATTTTGTTTATTTTTTTTTATAAATTTAAGTATTGACTTTAATACCTAAATTTTCTCGCTCAAGTTGTAGTTTTTTCTCTTCGGCATATGTATGGAGTTGTGCATAATGTGAATGAGCATAGAATTATGCTTAATGAGCTAGAAGGACATGGGTTGGGTGAAAAGAAATGAGCTGGGTGAAGATAGAAAATAAGCTGGGTGAAAAGAAAAATAAGTCTAGGGTTAAAAGAATAATCTTGAAAATAATGAAAGGAAAACTAATGAAAAGAACTTCAAATCTTTACATTTAAATCAAAAACTACCCATTAACTTTATTTTAATAATAAGGACAAAAGACTAAAAAAGAAAAAAAAAACATAACAAACCCAATAGCGTGGGGCGCGTACCCCCCACCCTAGTCCACTTTTTTTCTCCTACCTTTTGTCCCATCATTCAGCTAGATTAATAGTTTTTTTTTTTTTTTTGCATAGAATTAAAAAAAAACTTCGAATTGAATTACATTCTCCTGTTTTATTTTTGTCTCCTGTTTTATTTTTGTGGTGTTGTTTTCTAATAGTAGTCATGATGATGAGAAACTTTTCAATGTGCCCAGAACACGGGATGGTATACTCCATACAAGTTGTGAGAATCTTGTGTTAAAAAAATTAATAACATAAAAAATAAAATTTTTCACCATACTTATATAATGACATATGGTATATCATTTGTATTACAGGCACAAGGAAAAATTTCTTGAAGATGACACCTAAGCTCAATAAATTGGATGGAAAGCTACATTTATTATTGTAGGTATATGAAAAAAGTGAGGAAATTTTAATTTGGTAATTGAAAACAGCTTTTTAAATATAATTACTGAGAATTAAACACTATTTATAAAACTTGACCAATAAGGGTCTAAGTTTCAAACCTTATGAAACTGAACCAAAAATTAAACACTATTTATAAAACTTCACAAATAAGTAGACACTATTAATGAAATTAGACCAATAAGTAGACATCATTTATGACACTAGATCAATAAGTAGACACTATTTATGAAACGAAAATAAGAATTAGGCATAATTTGAACACTGGACTATAAACTATTTATGAAACTAGAGTAAGAACTAGACAATATTTATGAATTATGACCAAGAAATAGGCACTATTTATGAAAGTGGACCAATAACTAGACACTATTTAGGAAACCGGACCAATAAAGAGACTATTAATGAAATTGTACCAATTACTATGCATTATTTATGAAACTGGACCCAATAACTAGACATTATTTATGAAACATGATCAAGAATTAGATATCATTTTATGAAAGTGGACAAAAAACTAGACACTATTTATGAAATTGAACCAATAAATAGTATAGTATAGTTCAGTTTCATAAATAGTGCAGTTTCATAAATAGTGTTCAGTTTTATAAACAGTGTTCAGTTTTATAAACAGTGAAAGTGGACAAAAAACTAGACACTATTTATGAAATTGAACCAATAAATAGTATAGTACCGTTCAGTTTCATCAATAGTGCAGTTTCATAAATAGTGTTCAGTTTTATAAACAGTGTTCAGTTTCATAAACAGTGTACATGTACTACGCACGAGTCATGTTTTTTGTTTTTTTTTTGGTTTTTTTTTAATTGTGTCCTTTTAGTTAAAAATTAAGTTTTTTGGTTTTTCATTAAAATTTAATTCTTTTTCATTAAATAAAGTTTATAGCATGGTTTTTTTGTTAAAATAAACTTAGTTCAAACTCTTTTCATTAAAGTTCCCAATAATGAAAGTAAGTGAGGGTATAAAGGGAAAAAATTTATCATTCCTATTGCTAGAGCAATCCAGAATTCAAATATCTTGTATATGTTGGGAATCTAAATCCTCCAAATTAAGGAATTGAATTCCATTTTTTGTGTGGGCCCCACACACTTTTGATTCTTCCTAATTTTAGTAAACACAAGTATAATCCGTAATCGGAATCGGATTCCTTATTCTCATTCCGATTACGGGTTAGTAAATGCTTATCAGAGTAAAGAAGGTCTCTCACGGAATGAGAGAAGTCTAGAAGCTGGGTATTGTTTTTCAACGAAAATACTTTGACAATATGAAATCAGGAAACTTTGTGCTTGGTATGTATCAGTATCAGCTTTCAAATTGCTGGTATTAGTCTTCCATCACACACCATTTCTTTATTATTTATTCAAATATTTATAGTGACAGATGGTAGAATTTACCAATAAAAAAAGATAGTAGAACAAAACAACTGTTACTGGTAGTAACTGTTAAATCAGATTATGCTTGATGTTGATGGTAACTGGGTCCATATTTGAACTAGAGCGGGTATTTTCTGAATCGAATACTAAAATTAAATCAAAATTTACTGAAACTAAAATTATCAAAATAAAAAATTATCAAACTTTACGGTTCGAGTTTGATAAGCAAACTTGGTTGGTTCGGTTTTATCGTAACCGACCTGAAATTTTTATTAATGTTATAAATATATAAAATATTAGTGTATTTTGTTGAGATTAAACTCAACCGTTGAATTTGATTGTGATTATTTTTAACCATTGGTTCATAAAGATAAACTCGTTCAATCATTTTCTCTCTTCTCCGTCGACTCATTCTCTCTCCATCTCGACTCATTCTCTCTTTATCCCTTTCGACTCACTCTCAGGCTCTCATCCATCATCAGCACTTAGCGGCAAAAGGTGAAATGCCACTTCCACCGCCTCCACCACTTGGTCCAACGACTCAACTATGTCCACCCCCACGTCCGAAGACTAGTTCAACTTCAATAGGAAGCAGTGAGATGAGTCGAAGAAGCTGAAGGCGTTAAGCTTCTACATCAAGCTCTTGATTTGAACTTTAGACTCTTACTTTGAATAATTTGGAAGTGTGATTTTTGGGAAGGATTAGTCCATGAAGTTCCACCTCACTTTAGATTTTGTTCCTAGACTACAAATTCATAATCATTAATTTACGTCTTTGAATTTAACGAAACGTGCACCATTGGTCCTTGCCGTTAACTTTCGTTAGAAAATCTATTAAATCGTTGACGTGGACATATGTGAGTCTCACATTTTATTTTATCAATGTAGTTAAAGTAATGATATGCCGAATGGAAGTCTAGTATTTCCAATGACATGGAGACAAAATTTAAAAGTTAAAAAGTATGTTTAATAGTTTTGTTGCAAATGAAATGTTTTTAATTTTTGTTTCTAAGCTATGGAGGAATCGTACTCAAGATATCATGTTACAAACTTATTGTAACATATTTGACTCACTTAAACAATGAATTCGATATTAATTATTATATCAGTATTTCACTTCCTTGTATGAAAAAATCGTTTGCACTAAAAAATAGTCACCAACACAAAAAAAAAAATTGTTTAGGAGAACTCGAAAATATTATTTAGCCATAATCCATTGACGTAAACACAAATCCAGATAACGTAGGTGGCATACTCTAGGTACCGTTTGGTACGCAGATGGGGACGGGACGGGACGGAACAGGACGGAACAGATGATGTAAATATTGAAAAAGATAAGGAGAAATTTTGTCATAAAATGTTATAAATTTGTGTTCCACGGATGTGGAACGGATCGTTCCAGGGGAAGAGGTGGAACGAAAAATCAGCCAAATTTCGTCCCATGGGACAACCGTTCCACAGTTTTTAGACGCACCAACGGAACGGCTCGCCCTGTTCCGTCCATCCCACATACCAAACGGTTCCCTAAGAATTTTCCGATTACGTAATTGTCGGCTCAGCCCTTCCTTCCTTCTCAAACTATAAATACTCTCCCTCTTTTATTTTTCTCTCTCCGAAATAACACCCAAATGAAACGAAGAGAGAGAGAGAAAGAGGGAGATCCGATCGAATTCGAATGCATAGTCCACTGACAATCCAATTCCCAAATCAATGTCCGCTTCCCAAACCTTAGGCGGCCCCTCCCGCGCCGGCCGCCTGCTCGGCCCCTCCCTCGACAAAATCATCAAGAACGCCGCCTGGCGCAAGCACTCCCATTTGGTCTCCGCCTGCAAATCCGCCCTCGACAAGCTCGACTCCGTCACTGACTCCTCCATCATCGATCCCAAGTCCCCCGTCTCCGGCATCTCCCTCGCCGACGCCGAGTTCGCCCTCCGCCCCGTCCTCCTCGCCCTAGATTCGGCTTACCCCAAGGTCGTTGAGCCCGCCATCGACTGCGTCTTCAAGCTTTTCTCCCTTGGTATCTTCCGCGGTGAGATCGACACTTCCGATCCCAAATCTGTGCTTTTCAAGCTCGTCGAGTCGGTGTGTAAGTGCGCGGCGATCAGCGAGGAGCCTATCGAGCTCGGCGTGCTTCGGGTATTGCTCGCCGCCGTGAGATCGCCGCGGGTTTTGATACGCGGTGATTGTTTGGTGAATATTGTTAGGACTTGTTACAATGTGTACCTTGGTGGAGTGAATGGGACCAATCAGATCTGCGCCAAGTCGGTTTTGGCTCAGATTATGGTGATTGTTTTCACCAGAGTAGAGGAGGATTCGGTGAATGTCAGCATTTCTAGGGTTTCGGTGAACGAGTTGTTGGAATTCACTGATAAGAATTTGAACGAAGGGAGCTCCATTTTGTTGTGCCAGAATTTCATCAATGAGGTTATGGATGCGAGCTACGGCGGTCCGGATGGAATCAAAACGGTTGCCTCCCCAGGTCCCAAATTACAAAACGGCAATGCCAGTGGTGAGTCTAATAATGATGGAGCTGAATCCGGCGACTGTGCTAGTAAGATTAGGGATGATGGGTATCTTTTGTTTAAGAATTTGTGTAAGTTGTCCATGAAATACTCGTCACAGGAGCACTCTGATGATCAAATTCTCTTGAGGGGTAAAGTATTGTCCTTAGAGCTTTTGAAGGTGGTCATGGACAATGGGGGTCCAATTTGGCGCAACAATGAGAGGCAAGTGATCGTATGCCAATCATACTTGAGTCATTTCATGCTTATAAACGGGTATATAGTGTACTTTTACTTTGAAAGCATAGCAGAGTAGATATCTGGAGAAGTAAACCCAGTTTAAATTAGTGACTAAACAATGTTTAAGACTTTAGAAATTAGCGGTATACAATGCAGGTGCTTTGAGGGGCATTTTCTTCTTGTTAAGGACTTTAAATCTGATATGCTGTATTTTTGTTATTGTTGCTGATATATTGTTGCTGAACATATTGTTTACTTGAGTACACTTTTGCAATATTTTCACGAATCACTGTGAGGAAGCCAATAGTTTGCATTAACTTGGCACAGGTTTCTCAATGCTGTCAAGCAGTTCCTCTGCTTATCACTGTTAAAAAACAGTGCGTTGTCAGTCATGGCCATTTTCCAGCTTCAGTGTTCTATTTTCACCAGCTTGTTATCGAAATTCAGATCAGGATTGAAAGCAGAAATTGGTATATTTTTTCCGATGCTTGTCCTACGCGTGCTTGAGAATGTTCTCCAGCCTAGTTTCTTGCAAAAAATGACAGTCCTCAATCTATTGGAGAAGATCTCTCAGGATTCGCAGATTATCATTGACATTTTTGTCAACTATGACTGTGATGTCGATGCCCCAAACATCTTTGAAAGGTACTGCACTTGTCTGTTACTTTTTTACTTTCCATGTCTTTGATGCCATCAGAACATGAAGTTCCTATGGGTATTCCTTATTTTCTGTTTTGGTATTAATTTGCTTTGAAGCTTGAAGCTTACATATCTGAATGAAAATCTTTAAATTTGGAGGTAGTTGAATTCTACTTAGGAGATAATAACATTTATCTCGTAGTTTAAGGCTGCATATTTAGGACACTTTTGTTCCTGAGCTAGGATTCAGGACTACAACTAGGAAGTTTCCAAATTACTCTTAACCCAATAAGAGCTTGAAAATGGGGCTACATTCTTTTAGCTTAAGCCAATGTGAACGATTGATTTTTCCAAAAACTCTAGCTTGAACCCAGTTTTTCTGCTCTGGGTCTATTTAGCTCTCTCTCACACATACACTCAAAATGCATGCATATTTAATTTTTTTTACCATCATTCCTTTGTAAGCATTGTGTTTTTGTAAAATGTATTAAAACCCTTATAATTCCATCAGATATTTGCAGGATTGTCAATGGCCTTCTGAAAACTGCTCTAGGACCTCCCACTGGTTCAACAACAACATTGTCTCCAGTCCAAGATATCACTTTCCGGCATGAATCCGTAAAGTGCTTGGTTAGCATCATAAATTCAATGGGATCTTGGATGGACCAACAGCTGAGTATGGGAGACTCCTATCTACCGAAGACCAATGAAAGCGACACCTCAGCTGAGAAAACAGAAAATAGTTCGACCCCAAATGGTGAAGAAGGAGCTGCTTTTGATAATGAAGTACATCCAGAAGGAAGTGCTGAAGTTTCAGATGCTGCAACTCTTGAGCAACGTCGAGCTTATAAGCTTGAACTTCAGGTTGAGCTCTGCTTTGTTTATAGCGAAATAGAGTATACAATCATCAGGAATGCAATATGAATTTGTGTTTGTCCCCTCAGTCGATATGCCTCTGGCTAAATATGGCTCTTTCTTTAGTGACATTTTATTGTTTTTAATACAGAAAGGTGTCTCGCTGTTTAATAGGAAGCCTAACAAGGGCATTGAGTTTCTGATAAGCAGCAAAAAAGTTGGTAGTTCCCCAGAAGATGTGGCTTCTTTCCTGAGGAACAACACTGCTGGCCTAAATGAAACCATGATTGGTGATTATTTGGGTGAAAGGGAGGAATTTCCTCTAAAAGTTATGCATGCTTATGTCGATTCCTTTAATTTCAAAGGGATGGATTTCGGTGAAGCAATAAGGTTTTTCCTGCGGGGCTTCAGGTTACCTGGAGAAGCACAGAAAATTGACCGCATCATGGAGAAATTTGCTGAGCGCTATTGTAAATGCAGTCCAAATTCGTTTACAAGTGCAGATACTGCATATGTCCTTGCATACTCTGTGATAATGCTCAATACAGATGCCCATAACAACATGGTGAAAGATAAGGTTTGCATGCATAACATGTTCCTTTATGTTTTATGTCAAACCGCAATGAGTTTTGAGCCCTTTTTCTCTGTTGATAGTTTGCAGTAATTATTTGGGTGAGCTTTTCTTTTCTGTTTTTATTATTCTTAATTTGGATCACATGTAGGTGAATAGTCGGGTTATATTTTTTACATTCCCCAGATGTGGTTTGTCTAAATATAGGAATGTTGCTTTCTGAAGTTATGCCCAGATGTTCCCATTACAGGAGTTGAAATCCTTTTGGGAACATCGTTAATCTCATTTTATATTTTTTTAAAAATGTTGTGTCATTTTTTCTTTTCCTTTTTGTTTTATTTTAGAGGAGGGGGTACTTGAGGGAAATAACATTCTTTTTCTGTAGAATTTTAATATTTTTTTTTTTTAGGTGTGCAACTATAAATCAATAAAGTCTCGTGTTACATCCTCATTTTTATACACATCGTATAGCATTTTAGTGTCTGTCAAAATCTAACTTCTGTCTTCTGACATCTGTGTTCGCCGGTTATTCAGATGACCAAGGCTGACTTCATCCGGAACAACCGAGGAATAGATGATGGAAAGGATCTACCTGAGGAGTATCTTGGTGTCCTATATGATCAAATTGTTAAAAATGAGATTAAGATGAGCGCCGATTCTTCTGTACCACAGAGCAAGCAGGAAAACAGTTTTAATAAATTATTAGGCTTGGATGGTATCCTGAATTTGGTAACTGGGAAGCAGACTGAAGAAAAAGCATTGGGTGCAAATGGTCTTCTTATAAAGCACATTCAAGAGCAATTTAAAGCAAAGTCAGGAAAATCAGAGTAAGCTAATATAATATACAAGATAGAATTATCTTTCTCTTATTAGTAATATATTTTACCTATGACACTGATGGAGCATTGAGAAGTGGGTTAGTGTGGTCATGGTTTAATGAGTATAATATTCTTTTTTAATATCTTATGACACTTGTTTTGACTATGTAGAAGTGACAATCACACCTTCCATTGTTGTTCCTTCTACTGTCAAATACTTAGGTTACTCAGATACCGTTTTGGTACTATCAGTACTGTAGTTGGTTGGGAGAAAACTGAACTCTGCTTGATCATACTTAACCTCATACTTTTATTCAACCAGTTCCAAGCCTGACAGAGGAAGACAGTTGTAGGAGGTTGAAAGCCAATGTCTACATAGTCACATTCTATCAACATCTTTTGTTTATTACACAAAATAATTAAAGTAATTACCCCAATTAGGTCTAAGGCATTGTCGAGTTGGTATGAGTTGGTTTGGGACTTTTTTTTTGAGAAGAGAGTTGGTTTGGGACTTTAAGATCAATTGATCCGACCAATGTGGGATTTGAGCTTGCCTTCTGCCTATTCAGAGTCTGGCAACGTTTGGGAATTCATGTTTTCTTGGTGCTGCAGGTCTATCTATCATGCTGTGACAGATGTGGCAATTTTGAGGTTTATGGTGGAGGTCTGCTGGGGTCCTATGTTGGCTGCATTTAGTGTGACTCTTGACCAAAGTGATGACAGGCTTGCTACTTCTCAATGCTTACAAGGTTTTCGGCATGCTGTTCATGTTACTGCTTTGATGGGAATGCAGACCCAGAGAGATGCATTTGTCACTTCAGTAGCAAAGTTTACTTATCTACATAATGCTGCAGATATGAGGCAAAAAAATGTTGATGCTGTGAAGGTAAGTGCATGTTCAGTATATTTATTGAAAGAGCAAGTTAAGCATGTATCTGGATTTTCACATGTAACACCATTCCCCACATATATTATAATTGTAAAACAAATTTGATCAATTTGCATTACAATTTTCTTTCTTGACCCTTTTCATATAACAAATGATACCATAGAAATTTAGGGCTTAGGGTTACTGTTGGCAGAATATAGCACCAAACGTTTATTGCTTGCATTCTTTGGATAGTACAGGTGTCTGTGCTCAGTATGTTTCTGTGCAATGTCCTTTTATATCAGTTTTACCTATACATTTACTGTTTGCAGGCAATAATATCAATTGCCATTGAAGATGGTAATCATCTTCAGGAAGCATGGGAACACATATTAACGTGTCTTTCCCGAATCGAGCATTTGCAACTGTTGGGAGAAGGTGCACCCACTGATGCATCCTTTTTTACTGGATCAAAGGTCGAAACAGAGGAAAAATCACCAAAGCCTACTGGACTTTCTTCTCTGACGAAAAAAGGAACTATACAGAATCCAGCTGTGATGGCTGTTGTTCGTGGGGGTTCGTATGACAGTACTAGTGTCCGGGTGAACACTTCTGGACTGGTAACTCCAGAACAGATTAATAACTTCATTTCAAACTTGAATTTGCTGGATCAGATTGGGAATTTTGAGTTGAATCATGTATTTGCTCATAGCCAAAGATTAAACAGTGAAGCAATAGTGGCTTTTGTGAAGGCCTTGTGCAAAGTTTCCATGGCAGAGTTGCAATCTCCAACAGATCCTCGCGTATTCAGCCTCACAAAAATAGTTGAAATAGCGTAAGAGTCTTTTCTCCTCTATATTAGATTCTGTTGCGTGAGCACAATGACAGCAGAATTTATATTTTATTGTGAGATTACGCATGAAAACTTAAAATTTTCAAGCTCCCAAATGGCATGCTAAGCATGAAGTCCATGCAATCTTTTTCTCAATTCAAACTCTTTAGTACTTCTCCATGTTCTTTTTCTTGCAGATATATTCATTGCTTCTTGTCTTCACCTTTCTCTCACATTGATTATTAATTTTTCCTGATAATCAGACATGCAACTTCATCTGAACAAAATGAGAAGTTGGGATGAATTTTACGATCACAAAATAAATATCTTTCTTTGCAGGCATTACAATATGAACCGCATCAGATTAGTGTGGTCTCGCATATGGAATGTTCTCTCAGATTTCTTTGTATCAGTTGGCTTGTCAGAGAACCTCTCAGTTGCAATATTTGTGATGGATTCATTACGTCAGCTTGCTATGAAATTCTTAGAGCGCGAGGAGCTGGCAAATTACAACTTCCAGAATGAATTTTTGAGACCATTTGTGATTGTTATGCAAAAAAGCAACTCTACAGAAATTAGGGAATTAATTGTTCGGTGCATTTCACAAATGGTCCTCAGCCGTGTCAATCATGTGAAATCTGGCTGGAAAAGTGTATTTCTGGTATGCTATTGGGTTACAAGTTGAATGATTTATAGTGTAGATTAGTTAAATTTTGAAGATTTGTGATCCAAATTGAACTATTGCCACTGTGAAGTTTCAAATGATAAATTCAGGCAGTAACACAAAATATTGGTAATAAGTTCCCTCTATTTCTCTCGTTAGAGCTGTAAAGTTTATTTTTAAGCCTTTGTGTCTTATCATTCTAATGATCTCGAAGTAGGCTTGGGTTTGTTTTCCACAGCTTTAAGTAAAAAAATTCTAGTTATTTGCAAAATGACAGAAATAATGCCTTGTTTCTCACGTCATGCTGTTCTTTCATCAGGTTTTTACAGCAGCGGCAGCTGATGAGCGGAAAAATATTGTCTTGTTGGCCTTTGAGACCATGGAAAAAATCGTCAGAGAATACTTCCCCTATATAACAGAGACAGAGACAATGACTTTTACTGATTGTGTTAGATGCCTCTTAACCTTCACGAATAGCAGATTCAATAGTGATGTTAGCCTCAACGCTATTGCATTTCTCCGGTACTGTGCTGTCAAACTTGCTGAAGGAGGGCTTGTTTACAACAAGAGGAGTGAGCTTGATGTTTCATCCCTTCCAACAGCGAATGAGGATGCTTCAAATGGAGTGACTTTCAATGAGAAAGATGAACATGCATCCTTTTGGGTTCCATTGCTAACAGGTAACTTGATTTAATGCTAGCTTCCAGGAAAGTGCTACAACTTCTTAGCTTTGGGTAGTCGGTTTTATTTCTCTTCGATTCTATTTTGGATTCTTTCCATTATACTTGTCTTTTTTTATATCTATAGAGAAAGGTCTTGTTGGTCTTCAGTCTTTTCAAATTGATTCATCCTTTTCTTTCATTACTTAAATATTCTATTGTTGTCACAGGTTTGTCAAAGCTAACATCAGATCCTAGATCAGCAATCAGGAAGGGTTCTTTGGAAGTTCTTTTCAACATTCTAAAGGATCATGGTCATCTCTTCTCACGCTCCTTTTGGACTGCGATATTCAATTCTTTTGTTTACCCCATATTTAGCTGTGTATGCGGTAAGAAAGACACACATATGGAAAAAGACCAGTCTTCACCAGTTTCAGTATCTCCGCGTCCTGATGGAAGCACATGGGATTCTGAAACTTCTGCAGTTGCAGCAGACTGTTTCATAGATCTATTTGTCAGTTTTTTCGATACAGTAAGGCCGCAACTACCAGGTGTGGTATCCATTCTGACAGGACTCATACGAAGTCCTGTTCAGGGTCCCGCTAGCACTGGGGTTGCAGGTTTAGTGCGTTTGGCTGGTGAAGTTGGTGACAAGCTTTCAGAAGATGAATGGAGAGAGATCTTTCTGGCTTTAAAAGAAGCAACCACATCTTCCGTGCCTGGATTTATGAAGGTGTTAAGAACCATGGACGACATCAATATTCCCGGTCTTTCTCAATCTTATAGCGATATAGATTTGTCATCTGATCATGGGTTTACAAATGATGATCTTGAGGATGATAATCTGCAGACAGCATCATATTTGGTATCAAGAATGAAGAGTCATATTACTATGCAGCTACTTATCATACAGGTTTTCTTCCTCCCCTTTCAGCCTTCGCATGCATTCAGGCATGATTTATGTTTGTAGTTCTTCCTTCCCCTTGCTCATAAATACAGCATGCATGCAAATATGATGTTCGTGTGATTGCTTAATTGCTCGTATTTTGATGTCTGTTGTGTCAATGCTTATGGTCACACAGTCACGCTTATGACATAATGAACTCGGAATTTGATTTTTTATTTCTAGCATATGTATGGTACCAAGTGTCCATGCTACTGATGCTAGTTAACTGAGACCTTCATGTATATTTTATTGACTTATAATATTGTAGACTAGCCGACATTCACCTCTCCTAGACCCTGCGTAAAGCGGGAGCCTTGTGCACTGGGTACGACGATAATATTGTAGACATGTAAATTACAGTTTAAAGTTAGAGCTATGCTTGCGAACCATGTCAAAACTGTGGAATTTTCATTATTTTCTCTTGTTTCTTCTCTCTTCAGGTTGCTACTGATTTGTACAAGTTACACCTTGAATCGTTATCAGTTGGCAACATTTCAATCCTCCTTGAAATATTTTCCCTCATTGCATCCCATGCTCACCAACTGAACTCAGAGACAATTCTGCACAAGAAGCTGCAAAAAGTGTGCTCCGTCCTGGAACTCACTTCCCCACCTCTGGTTCATTTCGAGAATGATTCTTACAAGAACTACTTAAGCTTCCTCCAAAACGCCCTCGTGGACAATCCTTCTCTGTCGAAGGAGATGAACATAGAAGCCAAACTCGTTGGAGTGTGTGAAAGTATATTGCAGATATACCTAAAGTGTACCGAGCTTCATTCTGCCGAGCAGAGGCCTGCCGATCAGCCAGTTTTGCACTGGATTCTTCCCTTGGGCACAGCAAAGAAGGAAGAATTGGCCGCGAGGACCGACATAGCCGTGTCAGCGTTGCAGGTATTGAACAGTCTGGAAAAGGTTTCGTTTAGGAGGCACGTCTCTCGGTTATTTCCGTTGTTAGCAGATCTTGTGAGGAGTGAGCACACATCTGGAGAAGTTCAGCTTGTTCTAAGCAACATATTCCAATCATGTATAGGCCCAATGGTAATGCAATAATATCTCTATTTTTTGTGAGACACTTGATTAATACACATTGCCATCATCAAATCACAATTTTCTTCTCCTCGAACAGACTGGAGCCACAGAGAGAGCCATTAATATAATTTCCATTAAATTTTGTAGTTTATACAAAATCAAGGCTGGATTTTCCCACCTTTTGAAGAGTGTATCATCTAATGTGTCAATAATATCTACATCTATTACAGTACGAGGGTCATAGTCAGTGAGACCCAAAACTGTCTCTGGTATGATTTTCGCGACGGGTTTTGTTTCAAGTTATATCTCCTAAATGGTCATCGTGCATTTTTTTGGATTCGACAGTCATAACGATTTTGAAATGCCCATAATAACTCCTCTCCTGTTATTGATTTGATTAATAGTTCATTTTCAAGCAGTGTTCAAAATATTGATATAGATGAAAATATTGATATGCAAATATATAAATCAAACCAGTCAATCGATTATTAATTAATACATAATCGTTCGAACACTAGTTGAGAATGAAAACGGCTCTTTTTCTCATAACTGAAATGTTTATGCCTTTAATTTTTTTTTTCTTTTTTTTGGAAACTATGCTTTTAATCTCATACACAAAAACACAAAACCCATGAATAAAAAACGGAAAAAAAGTATAAAACTTTTAGTCTTATTCAAGATATGCCAATTTTGTAGATCCACAAAAATAAAAACCCACAAATCCGATCTCACCCTGAACTTTCTCTATCGAAAGACTTGTCTCTCACTCTATACAGGGATGCCAATGACGTTCAAATCACTAAAACAATGAAAAAAATATGAAGTCTTATCTCGTGTGAAGCATTCGAAACGTCGATTTTGTGTTCCATTGGTCAAAAGTAATTTTTCGCAATCAACGTGTTTGTAGTTTCATTGGTTAGAGTTTTATGCTACAATGAAGGGTGAGTGACATGCCCTGACCACGATATCCCCAAATACTAGGATGAGCATGTGTTGGCAGACACCCGGGGGTGATGAAGCCATTTGAACATGCATGCAAGTTATAAAGAAGGACAAAGGTAACTAAAATAAGTAAATTTAAATATAATGAAATATGCAAATGCAGGACCGTGTTCAGTACATACAATTAATTGAGATGCGGACGGAAAATTATGGAATAAATGAGATTACAAGGAAAGTGGGTCCTACACTGAGGGAACTCAAAGATACCGTTATGGGAGTGCCTCGATACCAGGATTGTACGCCTCGTTTCTAATTCATATTTGGAAGTCCAATGGTGGCTGGAGATGGCCGGAAAATGGCCTGAAAGGCGACAGGTTGGCGGGAAAACTGGGTTCTTCGCCGGAAACTCGAAATGAAATGAACAGATTGGTACCCTCATCAACGGCTAACTCGTCATGGTTTGGCTGGAAAATGACCTAGAAGGTCGTGGGTTCACCGGAAAACTTTCTCGACGACTGACTAACCATGGTTTGGTCGAAAAAGGGCTCGAAAGCCGTTAGATAGTTTGTTGGAAAACTGAGGAAGAGTCCCCTCGTCGTTTCTGGGTTTCCCCGGAGTGCAGGGGAGGTGATGGTGGTTGTCGTTGTTGTTGTTGTGGTTGTATGTGTGTATGTGTGTGCACTCATGCTTAGGAGAAGAGAGAGTGCAGAGAGATGAAGGTGAGAGAGAAAGGGGGAGAAAGATAGTGATGGGAAGAGAGAAGAGAACCATGGGAGAGAAAGGAGAAGGAGAGAGTTCCAAAAGATTGGGGACTCCTCCTTAGGTCCCACGTGGCACACACAACAATGCCACATGTGCCAATTAATAGCAAAAGGATCACAATGCCCTTGGAGTTCCAAACTTCGTAGAATCTTCGTTATAACTCCAAATTACATTCTATTTACGCCCATGCATTCGTAGCGACGAGTACTACAAGAATACATTAATATAATAGGTTATACATTGCATGGTAGGGTCAACAAAAGTCAATGATTTCGTCTTGAAAGGCATTTTCATAAAATCACACATTTAAAAATTATAAAACCGAAATTTTAGAAACTGGTCATTACAGTGAGGGGTTTTGAGAATTGAAGATAAATTTGTTAATGTTTTGCTAGTTTAACAAGTGAACACTGTCGAAAAACTACTTTAAGTTGTCTTCTTAACTTTTCATCTCCAACAATACTCTCTATTTTAACAGCATTATAACATTTTATTATTAACAATTCATTCTACTTAATATTTTATTATCAGTAATTTTAAATTAAAAAAAAAACTCAACCCACTCATTTTCTAAAACCACATTTTCTCTCTTCCTTTTCTCCTTGGCACACAGGTGCCTCATTAAGTTTTATTAATTTTTTAACATTTGAATGTCATGTAGTATTACGGTCTAGTTGTATTTATGTTCAATTGTAACTAAGAGATATTAGGTTCGATTCTCACAAAGGCAATTTTAACCACGTTATTATGGCTTGCCCATTGTGAGGCTTAGCCCATGACACGTCCCGACCTCGATATTCTCTGAATACCCGGATAGGCACGTGCTGGCCGACACCCGAGGGTGACGAAAGCCATGTATTGAATACAAGAGTAATGATTAGGAGAAAATGAACATGAATAATCATTAGAATCTAAAGGTAATAAACAAAGTTTAAGGAAATATCTAGAGTGCACAGAATACGTTCTAATTCAAGATCACAAAAGGAAATATCATTACAAGATATCATACAAATGAGTGATAGACTGCTACTGGTAGGGGAATGCCTCGTACGTTGTGTTGTAGTCCTCGTTTCTAAGACCTGAATGGGGGCGCAAAACAAAGGTGAGTGGACCAAGTTCATATATATACAATAATAATAAAACAATTATCAAGATACTAACCCCCACAGTTTATATAAAGAAAACTACTAGCATAATAACTGATAGGTTTACTGAAAATCCTAGCATGCCAAAAACATCTCAAAAGACAGATCGCGGAAATCAAAAAATAAATCGTCTCACAGATCGTCTCGTAAGTGCGGTGTGCTGTCAGTAAGATCACTGAATAAATATAACTCCTGGCTCTATGCCAGCACCGTGGTTTCTGTGCTCGTAGCCAGAGATTACCAATTGTCGGCCCAATGCCTACTCCGTGTCCCTCAGCCCGTAGCTAGGGATTATTTTTCCTGGCCTAACTGCCAACACCAGATCCTCGCCCCAGGCGGCATAGCGTCCACTAGGTACGCACAAATAATAATGCCTCTCAAATATAACCACTTCATAGTATAAAGTCATTCATCGTCTATACTATAAAGAGGGGTTTTGAAAACATGTTCTAGCATCCTACCGTCATCCATCAGATAGTTTACCAGTTCATGGTTTTTATAAAAAATACGATATATTAAAATATAGCTCAATTAATTTCTTACAAAATAACGAGACGAAAATCAACATTTCAATAAACATATGTTTGTACCATATTTAGGACCTCCGTATTTAGACCTCGTATAAATACTTGGGGGACTCAAATGTAATTATGTAATAAATGAAGGGGCAAATATGTAATAAGTGAGGAGCCCTTATTCTATAAAAGGACTCATCACTCTCCTCATTAGGCGGGGTCAAGGTTTAGGCCATGGGAAGAGAGAAAACATCTCAGAGAGGGCAAACACAGAAAATAGGCTAGAGAGCACACTGCTTCTAGCCTTCTTGTATATTAACCATTCAGAGTGAAACAATATCAACATCAGTGTGGACGTAGCCCAAACATTGGGGTAAACCACGATACATCTTGTATTCTTTACTTTCTTGCAGATTCACGGTCGGATTTATGTTGTTCTAAGACCCTCCGATTTTGTGCATCAACAACATGCTTAACATAAAATCAGTTCATAAACTCGTAAGGCATGCATTTCATTTATGCAAATAAACTATAAAATTATGCAAATTTTAGAAGAGGTCCACTCACAGATACTTCGTAGCAGCATAATTGTGCGAAAAATGATTAGGGAGGTCCCAACTAGAAACTTCACCTAAGCACAAATGTACAATTTATCAAACTACCCAACTATAGAATTTCAAGAAATGGAAATGGATCTTGGGTTTGGATCCGGATTAGGGTTTAGGTTTAGGTTAAATAGGGTTAGGACTTATTGGGTTTTGGGTTTGGATAGTTTAGGAACAAAAGGGTGGTTTGGGCTTGAGCCCAAACCCACACAACACACATACACACACGCCAGCACACTTGTACTCACATACGCACACATAGTACAGAACCCCACCCCACACAGTACACATATACACTCACATCATACACACACACACACATAAGCACACATCTATACATAACAACACACACTCACACGGGTGCACATTATACACATCACACACCTACACACGCACACACGCAACACACCACACACGTGCGCCACACACACAAACCACATACACTCACACATTCACACGGACACACCCACACACACAGTTAACACACACACACACACACATCGCAGCCCACACCACACATACATTGTACTGCACACACATACACGACATTGTCCAACAAACAATAAGGTAATTAATTACCTGGGTTCGAATTCAAAGGGGTCTGTGCACCCACAGCAACAAACTCGCCGGAGTTCATCCTTGCACACTTTCTGTGAACTGGAAAATAGAGATTGAGGTGCATGCAAGGGTTAAGGCTTGAATAAAGGGTTCAAAACCTCATCCCAGTTATCACAGAGACAAAAAGGAAGAGATTAGATGCACTAAGACACCCACCAACTTCGAACTCGACGACATTTCGCTGGAGTTTGTCGTCGGAGTTGGGTTCTTAGCAAAGAGAAGAGTTGAGGTCAAAACCCTCGAGTTTTGCCATAAAACCAACATCACAAATCATAAAACAACATGCATAACCCAAAAATTTGAAGAAGGAACAGAAGTCTCACTTGGGTTCGAGTTTTAGAGCTTTGAAGCTCTCGACTTCAATGGCAGAACATTCCACGATGCTCTGATGGTGCAAGCAAGGGTAATGTTGAGTTCGTTGAGTCTTAAGGATTCCAAATATATGAATTTTTTGTTCGATTTTGTGAGGGAGCTAAGGTGAGGGCTAGGTGAAGCTCTCGGAGCTAAGAGAGAGAGAGAGAGAGAGAGAGAGAGAGAGAGAGAGAGAGAGAGAGAGATGGATTTCAGAAAATGCAGAGGGAGAGCTCGGGAAGAGAAGAAAGCTAGGGAGCTGCCACTTGGCAGTTTAGGAGGAATGAGGTAACT